ATAAGAGTCAGTTCGACTTATAGCAACCTTGTATAGGGTTTCCGAGAAGCAGCTGGTGGGTTTCCAACCTTGTGGTTCACCATCCAGTGCTGATCCTACAGCACACTAGGAGTCCTTATTTCCCATAATACAGGTGTTGCTGTTGTTGCTAAGTGGGTTCTGACTGATAGTGACCCTTTATAGAGCAGCTGGTAGACTTGAACTGCTGACCTTGTGTTTTGCAGTACAGATACTACAGGTACAATGATTTAAAAAATATAATCGGATCAAATTCTGTATCTGAAAGTCTAGGGAATTCCTACTTGCTCTATGGATAAAGTTCAAATTCACCCTATGTTCTACTTTGTTTGATATCACCACTGTCAAAGAAGGACTTGAATGCAGATCCATTAATCTTAAAAAGCCATGCCAAGCACTTAAGAATCCTCAGGTGGCTAAGGGCCACTTAAGCACTGTAAGCAGTCGTTGGCATATCAATTTCTAAATACCACTATGACAAAGGATACACTAAGACTTCAGGAAAAATAAATACAAGACCATGAAAATAATCTATGAAGAAGATGAATATGATAATAGCAGTGAGAACTGAAGAGAACAGTAATAGATACTAAGGTAAAAGCATAAATAGGATTGTTGCTAAATACTGTCAAGTCCGTTTGGACTCACCAATGTTGTGTAGGTTTCCGAGATTGTAAATCTTTGCAGGGGCAGAAAAACCTCTTCTTTCTCCAGTGGAGTGGCTGGTGGGTTCAAATCACTAACCTTGTTGTTCACAGTCCAAGGTTTATCTTAAGGAGCCACTGTGCTCCTCTGAATAGGATTAAGTGACCCAATAAATACAGAAGTGAAGGACAGGGATATTTCTGGAGTTTCTAGTTATCCTGGAAGTTCCATTCATGAATAGGTAAAATAAGCCAGTATGTATATTGCTGGAAGCTTACACAGGTACAAGAAAATTTTTTGTATAATGAATAACAAAGAAGCTGAAATTGATGTGCTACTCTTACATACATTTTACTTTTCTTTTGAATTTGAGAGTCACAAAGAAGTTCAATGAACCTAAATTAAAAAGAGATCATAAACAAAACTATACTCCACCTAAGTTGTATTTTAGTTTTACACTGATGGAGACAAAAGTTAAGAGTTTGGCACTGATAAAGTGAGGATGAGAGTAGAAAGGGAAAACATGAAGGATATAAAACAAAAACAGACGTGGGTGAGATTAGAGAAGTACAGTACAGAAGAAAAAAAAGAAAATCAAAGCTAAAAGGAGAGGGGAATAAGAGAGGTTGAAGTCAAGTCTGAAGTACTACCCATATATGAGCTACAGTTTATGTGTCAGCTTGGCTGAGCTAGGATTCTCAGTGGTGTAGCAGTTAAGATGTAAGGATCACCTTCATGATATAATCACTCCCCTTATGCAATGTGCCCTGATCTAATTATCCTATGTGTTATAAATTCACACTTCTATGTTAATAAGGTCAGATGCAATCTACAGGATTAGGTTGTTTTTTGAATCAATCACTTTTGAGATACAAAAGATTAAACAGGCAAGCAGAGCTCAAATGGATCTATTACCACCAAGTAAGAAGAGTAAGGAATGAAATTGTGTCCTTTGGACTTGGAGTCCCTATACTGTGATGAAACCTAGATCCAAGGAAAGACTGAAGCCATGCCACATGATGATCTTCAAGGAATGTTGGACCTATAGATGCTGAAAGGAGACAGGACCTTACTACAGAGCTTGTGCTCTGAATTTGGACTTCTGGCCTCCTAAACTGTGGGAGAATAAATTTGTTTAAGGCATCCATATGTGATATTTCTGTTACAGCAGCACTGAGATAGCATATTATATCAAGTCTATCCTCTACTTGTTGTTGTTGTTGTTAAATGCCGTTGAGTCGGTTCCGACCCATAGCGACCCTGTACAGGGTTTTCACGGGTGTAAATCTTTACGGGAGTAGAAAGCCTCATCTTTCTCCCGCGGAGCAGCTGGTAGTTTTGAACCGCTGACCGTAAGGTTCGCAGCCCGATTCGTAACCACTACGCTACCAGAGCTTCAGCATTTTTCAAGTGGCTGATAAAAATCTATCTAGTGGATCCCAACCAGGAATATCAAAAAAAAAAAAAGAAAAGAAACAGAATAAAATACAAAACATGTAATTATATCACTTGTAGTATGGAAACTATTGTTTTGTAAATCTGTTATCTTATATATTTGTAAGGTATGTACTAGATCACAAGGTAAAACATCTTTTACTGTTTGAAGATGACTACTCTAGAATGACTAGCAGAAAAAGTTTAAAAACCATTGCTCAAGACTACTTCAGATTGTTAAATGCCTCCTTGAGACGTCAACTGGCTAATTATTGTCAATGCTCATTTATTTATTCATTTACAGATTGTTACTGAATAAGGCTGCTATACATTTCCTAGGGGTAATTATTCTGCAGATAAGAGAAGCCATGATTACAGCATCCAGTTCACTGGGTCAGAAGCTCCCTAGTCTGATACCATTCTATGTGGTGCTATGTCTCCTGATATTACATACAACCTTTTTATCAAGTACAATACTGTGTATTTCAGTAAAAACAAGAAACAATTATCTATGTGACCTGGAGCAGAAAAAAGTAAAAATCAGAATGAAGTTTATTCATACTGTTCCATTTGTTACTTTAAAGAGATGACTGAGGAAAGGATTGCTATGAGTCAGACCTGACTCGGTAGCACATAATCACTACCACCATTAACTTTCTAATCCACTAGCCGCTCCACAGGAGTCTTGGTATGACACTGTAAGATAAGGACTGGTTTGCTAACCACAAGGTCAGTGGCTCAAACCCACTAGGGGCTCCTTGGAAACCTTATACAGGATCGCTATGTGATGGAACCGATTCAGTGACACTTAAGGGCAACAGCCACTCCACAGGAAAAGGATATGCAGTAGGCTTCTGTAAAGGTTTACAGCTCTGGAAATGTTTGACAATTCTGTTCTGTCCTACAGGATTGCTGAGTTGAAAGTGACTCGATGGCAATGGATTTTTTTTTTTTTTTTTTGGTTCTTATTAACTTTAGAGAGAACATCTAGGCATGTATCAAAGAAATATATTAATATATTGATTCAGCAATTCCTTTAATTTCACTTCATTGTCCCCCACCTGTACCTCTATTTACATACAAGTAAAATGGATGCTTCTATTAATAACAGAATGAGCCAATTAAAAAAAATTATATCCGTGTATATGTAACACTGTGCAATCAAGCAAGTTCCAACTCATAGGGATCCTGACCCTGTATAGGGTTTCTAAGGCTGTAAATCTTCATGACCACAGAAAGCCTTATTTTCCTCCTTCAGAGTAGCTGGTGGATTCAAACTACCGATCCTGAGGTTAGCCCAATGTGTACCAAAAACAATATATGCCTACATAGATGCCAAGAATTGTGCATACAAATTATAAGCAATTAATCTGTTATTTCGGGTGGTGGGATTTTCACCTCCTTTCACACTAATCATTTTTGTATAATCACAACTTTTCATTTATCCCTTATCTTTCTCCACTTTTGGCTGAATGTAGCTCATTGCCAATAGTTTGTAGGCCAACACTTGTATGCAAGAGTTGTTATATTTTTCCTTTGTATTCCAAGAACAAAGAAAGCATGACGTAACAAGAGTAAAACAAACAAACCTATAGTTTAAAAATACAAAACTTCTTTTATTGAACTCTTATATTTGTGTTCAGTGCCAGGCTAAAACCTTATCCATCCATTCTTTGATTTAATCCTCACAACTCCAAAGCAAGAGCTTTCTCGTTTTACAAATAAGGTGAAATTTAATTTGCCCCAAAAGTCACATAACTAGTAAGTGTCAAGAAGATTTAAAAACCTAGATCATATTGCAAAGGTCAAACTCTTAACCATTAGTTTTAGAGCATGACAGACCTGGGTTCAAATCCAGGTTGTTACTAGCAATGTGACCTGTCATCTTCATCCCCCCACTGCATCTTTAAAATGGACAGCATACCATTCTACATTATTGAGTGGTCAAAAATTAATAATAAAGTTCTTGGTTCTCCTATTTGACATATAGAAAGCACTCTATTTGGTGATAAGTTAAATTTCTTACAATACTAGGAACATCAAGATGAGTATGTTATTATAAAAGAGACTAGAATTTAAAAATGCCAGACACATTCAAATTATATACCTTGAATTTTAGTAAAAAGTGTTTACATTTTTCCTTTTAAATCTGCTCACAAAACATTAAAGTATTGCTACATACTAATATAAATTAGAGTTTGAAGAATGGTAAAAGTTCAGTATGTGACATCACATTAAATAAGATTTGGGTCATCAAATAGATTAACCTCCAGAGCATGAAGAGTTACTACAAGGCTCCATTTAAAGTTCCCTCAGCAAACTAGCCCTATTTGAGAACAATTAATCATTATACTAAAACCATCATCCTTTATAAGGTGATGATTTATGAAATGGCTTTTTAAGTACTGAGATTACTTTCAAAAGTTAAATTTTTAGGTTCTTTAATTTGTAGGTTCTTTAACTACTACTATGAATAGTAGTTTAAATAGCTAATCTGCTCCATTACAGCTCTGGTAGCATAGTGGTTACGAATCAGACTGCAAAGCTCAAGGTCAGCAGTTCGAAACTACCAGTTGTTCCATGGGAGAAAGATGAGGCTTTCTGCTCCCGTAAAGATTTACAGCCTCGGAAACCCTGTACAGGGTCACTAAGAGTCGAACCGACTCCATGGCACATAACCAAGCTGCTCCATTATATTTTCCAAGATACATATGATCCTTTATTTCTACTGAAAATTTTACCTTAAGAACATTTCTGGGACTCAGGAATACATTTAAAAAATGACTGTGTTAAATAATGGAGCATGAATGACAACTAAAAAATTAGTGACATCCAAGAGTCTAAAGTGTTGTTGAAACCCCAACAAATATCGGCACCAAAGAGCTAAACTTGAACATGCATACCTCAAGTCATCACTTGGTTCTTTTTTTCCTGGAAGTTCCATGTGCTTGGCGTCTTCTGTTTGGTTCACTTCAGGAACATTGGGCTCTGAGTTTATCACGGGGACTTCTGAAGTAAAAGAAAGCTCCCCTTCATTGGAAACTCCAAAGAGGTCTGGGTCATCCTGAATTACATCAATTAAGAGGACATCATCTTCATATGCTTTAAGAATGTCTGGAAACTCCACTTTAATTTCTGAAAAGCTCTTACTCACTTTTTTACCACTATCTTCAGAGCAAACAGGCTCAAATGTGTCTTTTTCATTAGAACAGAAGGCAGTACTTTTCTCTACACACCCAGGATCACAAAAAAAAGTATTATATTCATCTGTGAGAGAAACAGCTTCCTTGTTAGATACAATGTTGCCTAGTTCGGAGATGTGATTAGATGGCTTATTATTACTATGCTTTGAGGAGCTTGAAGATAAACTATAGGATTTCTTACTGTAGAATGAATCAGAACTCACTTGCACTGGAGTTATACTGTTTTGTATGCTCCAAGACTGAGGTCCTGAAGTTACTGTGGAGACATTTTCTTTACTCCTATACTGTCTTATCTCTACAGACAAATTGTCAAGAAGTTCAAGGGGACTATAAGCTTCTCTCTCTGATGACTTGATATTTATTTTTCTTTTTTCTGCTTTGTTCTTAAGTAAAGGAATTTTAAAATTAGTCAGTCGTCTTGTGTTCAGTATTTTCACCAAATCTGGAACCACAAGCGTCGGCTTAGCGATACATGCTTTTCGATTAATAGTTTTGCCTGTATAGTTATTTGTTTCCTGACCATCCTGGGAAGCCACTGTTAAATTAGGTTTTACTAAATTCCCTATGTCTTTTTTTTTACATCCTGTCATGCTCTGAGTCACATTAATTAATTGAAAACCTTCAGCAGTATCTGAAACTACCTCTGGCCCACTTCTGCTCAGATTCTCTGATCTCACTTTTTTATCATCACTGATTATAGGTTCTATTGCAGAAACTGAAGAGAGATAATTTACATCAGAATTCAATTGTTCTTGACTTGAAAATTCTACGTTTGTTTCTGTTGCGGATCTCTGTAATAATACTTTGGTATCAGTTAAGTCCGTCTTTGTTGGGTGTTTAAGAAAATCATCTTGAGTAAAACTTTCTCTAGACCCAGAAAGAAATAAATTCGATTCTGGCACGGAAGTCTTTTTCCAACAGAGGACAGATATTCTAGCACACGAGTAACAAGGCCAAGTTCTTTTACCAGTCATTGGTATTGTTCTGTGGCAGCTTAACTTTGATTCTTCATCTTCATTTCCCAGCTCTTCCTGTGAGGATCTTTCAATATGATGATAATTAGAAAGACCAGATGTACCAGTGGGTGATTTCACTGTTGAACTTTTCACTGACTTTAAACATTCTTCTGGCTCCGCATTTTTACATACGAGGATCTCTGAATCAGTCTTTGTTTCTTTTAAAAGTGGGTCAAGAATTTTCTGAAATTTAGCCTTTACATGATGTTCAGGACTTGTTTTTTTCCCTTCTGCTTCTGGGAGGCTTAATGAATGATCCATTGGGAAGGGTATGTTATGGTTTACTTTCTTTGAAACTTTAACAGAGCCTTTTTCATTCTGTAAAATACCTACTTCTTTACATTCAGCACAAATGTGGTTTTCTCTTAACACCAACTCAGGCTTGTTATTTAAATTGGAGAAGTTCATCTCAAGAACTGTTTCATCTCCTTTTTCGGACAACTTCATCTTTTTCCTGGGTTTCCTCCCAATACTGCTATCCTCTGTTAAATATTTATTTTTTTCACTTTGAAGGCAAGGAAGCAAGTCATCATTTGTATTTTGGTATAAATCACTTTCTTCACGCAATAATGTATTTACTCCCATTAAGTTTTCTTTAGTCTGTGAAAGTTGAATATTATTTTCATCATTCTTCTCTCTAAGACTTTTAAGATTGTCTTTCTTTGAGGAATTTTCTGCTACGTGAATACATCCATCATCAGGTTTATATTCAAGGCTGTTTTCATCATTATAACCCTTAAAATGGGGGAAACAATTACAATCATGTAACTTTAAAATGGAATTATTTTCTACTCCAGGTGACAAGCTGTTACAAGAATATTTTGGAGTATTCTTGCACAGTTCATTTTGGAATTCAACCTTAATATTTTGTGGAGCTTTCTTTTCAGTTATTTTGACAGGTAGACTCTCTGAAGTTTTACGTTTTTTAAGTTGAATTCTTCTTCCAATACCTTCAGCCAAACCTTCCTTACCACAAGACTGCAAAAAAGCCATATGTTGAAATTCACTGCACTCCACTGTTTGGAAAGATTCCGAACTGGTTAATGATTCCTTCCTTACCAGGTCATTTCCTGGCTGTGGATCATCACTTGAGGCTTCAGTAACTTGTCTTTTTTCCTTGGCTGATTAAACAACAAAACACAACAAAATACTTTACATTAAGGAGGAAAAAGGAACTCCACTTATAAAAATTAAAACTTGGGAAGCCACCCATTTTTATTTCCCCAAATAGCTGTATGGAAGCATATTTTGTTTTCCAATGAAAAGCCCAATTTTCAGTTAAGCCTTGTATACATTCAAAGGCAGATGGATAACCCCTTGCGGCACTTCACACGAGCCATAAGGGTTATTAAGATGAATTTCCCCTACAGGAATTCCGACCAAGGGCTCCTAATGGGACAAACGCCTCTAAAAACCCCGTTTTTCCTCTCCTCATCAAGTGCATCATGTGCAGTAAACTGAGGCGGATTAAGGTTAAGGACAAGTAGGGAAACAAAGATGGCGATGGGGTCGACAGGCCGAGGCATGAAAGATAGGAAGGAAACGCCCACTGAGTGCTTTCTTACTGTATCTTCCCGACTGCAAGGGGAGTTTGGCCGCCTTCGCTGCTTCTAGGGTGGGTCAATCTGCACTTGTCAGGCGCGCTGGGTCTCCCGTCAGGCCTCCCATACCCTCCACTCCCCGCCTTGCGGCCTTCCCAGGCCCAGACACCTCACCTGAGGTCTCATTTTCCACCTCTTCACTCCCAGACACCCGGGTCACCATTCTCCTCTTCGGCCTGTTCTCCTCACGCCCCCCGGTCTCAGGGCCGCAACCTCCCGCCTCGCCTGACTCAGACGCAGCTCTCCGGCCTCGCTTCCTCAGGCAGCGAGCTTCGACTTCACACCCTTGGGCCTCCGCAGGGCCCGGAGGAGGCGGCCGTCGCATCCGCCCGAAGCAGAACCTCCTCGCCCCGTGGAGCCCAGCCGCAACCACTGGCTGGCGCCCACAAACAGCGCAAACGCTACTCCTTCAGGCATGCGCCTACAGCCCTCGGCCCCGCCCCTCACCGCCCACCAGCTCTGCCCGGGGCCGGAAGCGGAAGTGGGGTCTGCGCAGCTTGGGCCTGCCTGTTGCGCCTGGGCCTAACAGGCGGAAGGACAGTGAACCCAGTTAGTCAGGCGCACTCGGGAAGCATCTCTTGTGGCCCCTTAAGACTGCAGCGGCTGGCCAGGGTGACTGGCCGGTTTACCGCTAGTTCAGACCTCCCAAAGACCCATTGGCCTCCGCAAGCCCAAGCTGTTCGCAAAGACCACTGCCTATCGATGACCTTATGACTGCATTCCAAGTACACACTTGGAATCCCTATCCAGTCGATACGTTGTTGTTAAGTGCAGCCGAGTCTGTTTCGACTCATAGCGACCCTGCATAGGGTTTCCGAAGAGCAGCTGGTCGGTTTGAACTGCTGACCTTGCTGTCTAGCGTATTTTTTCCTCAGTGCCACACCAGGACTCCACTCCTGATACAGTCACCCGGATATCCTACTAGTCCTGCAGTCGAGTAGAACTGCTCAGTGGGGTTTCCAATGTGTGTGGTGTTTTTGTTTTTTTCCCCCAAGTAGATTGCCAGTCTTTTCTTCCGAGGTGCCTATGTGAGGTCTTTCAACCTTTCAACGGTTTGCACCACTCGGAGGCACAATATATTCTACAAGCACCTCAAACCCAGAATGTGCGAAACTGAGTTTACTTAATCCACTACATCCATATTCACTCCATCTACTCCATAGTACTTTCCAGTGTTTGTCAGACACTTTTATCTTTGGCAAAGAGACATTGGTTGCTTCTTAAGTTTTATTCATTCTTCCATCTTGGTGCCGTTTCCCTGCTGTCAAATAATTGTTAGTGCCATTTTCAAGCGAGTTCCAACTCAGTGATCCTGTATAGGGTTTCCAAGGAGCTCTCGTAGCATAGTGGTTACCAGTTGGGCTGCTATGCAAGGTCAGCAGTTCAGATCTACCAGCTGTTAAGCAGAAGAAAGATGAGGCTTTCTGCTACTGTAAAGATTTACAGCCATGGAAACCCTATGTAGGGTCTTTATGACTCGGAACCGACTCCATGGCACATAACCAGCATAGGATTTCCGAGAAGCAGCAAATGGACTTGACCCACTGACCTTGTGGCTATAAGTCCAGTGCTTATTTTACAGCGCCACACCAGTACTCGGCTGCCAAGTAATGTTTCTCTCATAATATGAGTAGGAGATCCAGGCACTGCTTGACACTTCATGAACCTCATTTGCTCACAGACTAAAAGTATTGAGGGAAAGCACCTCTCTTTATTGTTGTTAAGTGTTGTTGAGTCAGTTTTGACTCATCCAGAAGTGACTGGTGAATTTGAACCACCAACCCTGCAGTTCAAACCAAACTTGTGGTCCAATGTTTATCCTACAGTACCACACCAGAGTCTTTTAATACTGTTACTGAAGGGAAACATTTGTGCTTTCTTCAATGGAAAGCTGTACATAGAAGTATCTTCACCATATTCTATGGAAGTTATTTTACAACTCTGAATTATAGATCCAAATCCATTGCCATCTTGTTGATACTGACTCATACTGTCCCTATATAGAGTTTCCAAGAGTGTAAATCTTTAAGGTAGCAGATAGCCTCACCTTACTACCACAGAGCGGCTGGTGGGTTTGAACCACTGACCAGGTGGTTACCAGCCCAACACCTAACCCACAGCACCACCAGGGCTCTTTAAACACTAAATAACCCACTTCCATCAAGTTGATTCCAATTCATAGCAACCCTGCATAGCATTTCTGAGGCTGTAAATCTTTGAGGGAGCAGAAAGCCTCATCTTTCTCCACAAAGTGGCTGGTGAGTTTGAACTGCTGACCTGCTCAGTGTTTACTCTATAGGGCCACACCAGTACCCATGAACACACATAGATGAATTGAATAAATTTCTCAATCTATATTGAATGATGTTTTCATTAGTTGTCATTGAGTTGATTCCAACTCATGATGATCCCACGTGTAAGTACTGAGTAGAAATGCTCCATAGAGTTTTCAAGATTGTGACCTTCATTAAGCGTATTTCTAGACCTGTCCTCCAAGGCACCTCTAGGTGGGTTCGAACTGGCAACCTTTCAGTTAGTAGTTGAAAGATTAACTATCTGTGCTACCCAGGGACTCCTTATATAATTCTGACATTTAATATCTTTAAAATAAACCTTGCTACAGAGTCCTGGTGTGGTGCTGTAGGATAAACACTGGATCACAAGGCCAGTTCAAACTGCAAACCAGGTCAGCAGTTTAAACGAACCAGCAACTCCTTGGAAACCCTATATAGGATCACTATGAGTCAGCACCAACTCAACAGCATTTAACAATAACAATAACAACAATTAAGATCTCAGTAAAAGAAAGAAAAAAACACACGAGTTCAGTTTCGTTGGCTTATGTGAAAACAGATGATTTTAAGTAAGCTCTGTTCTTAGTGCCATTCAGTTGGTTCCAACTTATAGCGATCCTGAGGAGAGGTTGGTGGGTTTGAACAGCTGACCTTGCTGTTCAAACTGACAGTTCATTCCAGTGCTTGGTTGTTGGTGGTTACGTCCTGTTGGTTTGGTTCCAACTCATAGCGACCCAGTAGAGGATTCCCAAGGCTGTAAATCTTTACAGGAGTAGAAAGCCTCATCTTTCTCCCATGGAACCTGGTACATTGGAACTGATGACCTTGTTGTTAGCAGCCCAGCTAGTAATCCATTATGCTACATCATTTGTTGTTGTTAAGTGCCGTAGAGAATTAAAAAACTTCTGACCTGTAACTATTGAGTAGCACATGCAATGGGATCAGAAGAGCTTAAAAGCATGTTGTTGTGTGTGCCATTCAGTCAGGTCTGACTTATAGTAACCCTAGATACAACAGAACAAAACACTGCCAAGTCCTGTGTCAACCTTACAATTGTTTCACACGAGCCCATTGCTACTGCCACTGTGTCAACTCATCCTCTTGAGGGCCTTCCTCTCGTTTGCTGATCCTTCACTTTACCAAGCATTATGTCCTCCAGGGACTGGTCTCTCCTAATAACATGCGTAAAGTATGAAAAATGAAGTCTTGCCATCCTAGTTCCTAAGGAGCATTCTGGCTGTACTTCCTCCAACATAGACTTGATTGTTCTTTTGGCAGTCCATGGTACTTTCATTATTATTTTCTAACATCATAACTTAAATGCATCAATTTTAGAATCTTCATTATTCATTGTCCAACTTTCACATACATACTGAAATACCATTGAAAATTGAAATACCATAGAAAATACCATGACTTGGGTCAGATGCACCTCAGTCCTCAAACTGGTATTTTTGCTCTTGAACACCTTAAAGGTATCTTTTGCAGCAGATTTGCCTAGTGCAATATGTTGTCTAAGTTCTTGACTCCTGCTTCATTGAGTGTTGATTGTGGATCCAAGAAAAATGAAAATTTTGACAACAGCAATGTTTTCTCCATTTGTCAATATGTTATTTATTAATTCACTTGCGAGGATTGTTGCTTTCTTTACATTCAGGTGAAATTCATACTGAAGTTTATGGTCTTTGATCTTCTTCAGTAAGTATTTTAAGTCCTTTTTGCTTCCAGCAAGTAATACTGATATGCAGCAATCTGCATATCACAGGCTATTAATGAGTCTTTCTCCAAACCTTATGCCACATACTTCATATAATTCAGTTTCTCAGATTATGTGCTCAGCATATAGATTTAATAAATATGGCAAAAGCGTACAACCCTGGTGCACACCTTTCATAATATTAAACTATTCAGTATCTCCTTTTTCTATTCAAATGAGTGCCTCTTGGTCTATGTACAGACTCAATTAAGTGTTCTTGAATACCCATTCTTTGCAATGCTATTCATAGTTTATAATGATCCACACAGTCAAAAGTCTTTGCGTAGTCAATAAAACACAAGCAAATATCTCCCTGGTATTCCTTGCTTTCAGCCAGGATCCATCTAACATCAGCAATGACATCTTTCATTTCATATCCTTTGCTGAATTCAGCTTGATTTTCTGGCAGTTCTTTGTCAATGTACTGCCACAGCATTTAAAAATTATCTTCAGTAATGGAACGGTCACAAATATGAGTTTTTTCCAATCAGTTGGCCAGTTATTTTTCCAAATTCCTTGGCATAGATGAGTGAGTGCTACACCAGTTTGGTGAAAGAGTTCTATTTGTATTCTGTAAATTCCTGGAGCCTTGTTTTCCACCGATGCCTTCAGTGCACCTTGGAGTTCTTCCTTCAGTACCAATGTTTTTTGATCATATGCTACTTCTTGAAATGGTTGAACACTTTTTTTTTTTTTGGTACAGTGACTGGATATCCCTTCTATCTTCTTTGGATGCTTTCTGCATCATTCAATATTTTGACCACTGTTGTTGTTGTTTAGTACCATCGAGTCAGTTCCAACTCATAACAACCCTGTATAGGGTTTTTGAGGAGCAGCGGGTAGTGAGCTTGAACTGCTGACCTTGAAGCTTAAACTGACCTTGTGGTCCAATGCCTATCCTACAGCAACACACCAGGAATGCTTTAATATTTCAAGTTGAGGCTTGAATTTATTCTTCCATTCTTTCAGCTTAGAAAATGCTGGACATGTTCTTCTCTTTTGATGTTCTAACACCTGGTCTTTGCACATTTCATTATAATACTTGACTTTGTCTATTCAGGTTGCCCTATGAAACTTTCTGTTCAGATCTTTTATTTCTTCATTTCTTCCATTAGCTTTAGCATATCTATATTGGCGAACAAGTTTAAGGGTCTCTTCTGACATCCATTTTGGTCTTTTTTTCTTCTTCTTTCCTGTCTTTTTAATGACCCTTTGCTTTCTTCCTCTATGGTGTTCTTGATGTCATCCCACAGCTCTTCTGGCCTTTGGTCATTA